ATGAAATGAATAAAATGATAATTTGGTGATAACTTTGAGAAGTTGGCAAAGTGATTATTTGGCGGTTATGTCAAATAGTTCTGAACAAAACGATCATTTAATGATAAACTTTACGAAGTTATTAACAAATTTTTATTATAAAAAAAAAAAAGCAAAAAAAGAAAAAAGAACAATATACGATGGTAAAAGTATGAGTTAATATAAAATTATTTATGGGAAAAATAAATTAAAAAAAAGAGGAAATAATTTATGCAAATTTTATATGAGTATAAAAAATAAAATGAATTTAAATTTTCAATTTTTATTTGAATTCTTTTTTTTCTTTTTTTTTGCATAAAATTATTTTAGAGTGAAGTACGTATGCTTATTCGAACTGGTATACCCAATGATTTAAGACCAATCATTTGGAAATTACTCATTCAACAACAAATTGTTGATATTAAAAAAAATATGGCAAATATTACTTTCGTGATTTATGCAATACACGTGGATCACTTGATGAAACAGAGGTTTTATTCATTTCCTTTTCTTTTTTTTTTTGATCCATTTAATTTTTGATTTTAAATTTTATTTTCAATATTTTGTTTGTACTGTAAATGAACTATTCGTGTGGTTTTTTTTGTTTGTTTTAAATTTAGAATTCAATTTAAAACAAACAAAAAAAATTTGATAGTTTTTTGTTTTTAACAAAACGATAAATTCGTATCAAATTTAAGTAAATTGAATTATGAAATATTTGTAATAAAAATGAAAGGATTCCTTTTTCTTATCTATTTAATTTTTGATTTTAAATTTCATTTTCAATATTTTGTTTGCACTGTAAATGAATTGCTCGAAGGTTTTTTGAAATTTAGAATTCAATTTAAAACAAACAAAAAATAGTTAATAATAATTTTTTTCTTGATAAAACGGTAAATTTGTATCAAATTTAAGTAAATTGAATTATGAAATATTTGCAGTAAAAAATGAAAAAGATATTACAAATTATTTTAAAAAAATATAAAATGAAGAATAATAAAAAAATTATATTTTTGTCATTATTTATTTAAATTTCATTTAATTTTGTCAATTAATAATGTTTTTTTTTTGGTATCTTTTTATTTTTACTATAAATATTATTAGTTAAATTTTTTTTGAATTTTTTGTAAATTTATTCTTTTTTAGATTTATTATTTGAATTAATTTTTTTTAAATTTATTATTTATTTTAAATTAAATTTCAGTACAGAGACAATCATCAAAAACAGATAACGCTTGATTTATTACGAACATTACCTGATAACATCCATTTCATGTCACCAACATGTAAAGGGGTTTGCTTTTTATTATAAAAATTTCTTTAAGCTTTTTTTTTTCCCTTCAAAAAAAAAGTTCATTTTTTTTTTTTATTATAATTGTTAATGTTACCAGTATGACAAATAAATAATCATTTTATTCCGATCATTTTATCAATAATTTTACGGTATGGAATCAAATTACTTTTACAGTATGATAAATAAATGAAACAAACAATTGATCATTATATTAGCATTCTACGGTAGTGAATTCATTACACTTTAACATTTTAACAAAAATTTTTTTCCAAAAAAATTTTTAATTCTATAAAAATTTTGAATTAAATTTTAATAATTTTTAGATTCAACAATTAGAGCAAGTACTTCGTGCTTTCTGTTTGCATAATCCGATAATTGGTTATTGTCAGGGAATGAATTTTATTTCCGGTACAGCAATGCTTTTTCTTGGTGTCGAAGATACATTCTGGTTTTTAGTTGCAGTTACGGAAAAATATTTTGATAAATCATATTTTGATTATGCATTAACCGGTGCACAAGCTGATCAGGTATCAGTTTGTTCATTGATAATTTTTGAAATGTTTAAAATGAATTTGAATTTTAAAATGTGATCATTTCAATTCATTAACCAATATCTCAGTATATTTGCATAATAATTCAATTAATAAATTTTTAATTAAATGGTAGATTAAGCAAATTTTTAATTTTAATTGAGTATAGATTTTTTTAATTAAATGCAGACTAGAAAAAGAAAATTTTGATTTTTTTAAAAGATAAAAATTAATATTTTTATTGACAAGGCTTAAAAATTTAATAAATAAGTCATTTTAGGAAGTGTTAAAGGAATTGGTTGCAAGACGATTACCACGATTAGCTGCGCATTTGGATCATTACGGTATTGATTTAGCTACAGTAACTCTAAATTGGTTTTTGGCATTGTTTCATGATGCTGTACCTTTTCAGGTATTTTATTGCTTGCGAAAATTTTTTTTTTTTCAACTAAAATTCATACATGATTATTGATACATAAAAGTGTATTTTATCTTTTATAAATAAAAGACAATTTTTTTTTTTTATACTATAAAATAATATGAAATACATTAATACTGTTCTATAAATAAATAATTAATACTATACTATAAGACTAAATTATCACTAATTAATACTATACTATAAGACTAAATTATCACTAATTAATACTATACTATAAGACTAAATTATCACTAATTAATACTATACTATAAGACTAAATTATCACTAATTAATACTATACTATAAAATAAATTAATGCATTTATTAATGTAATAATTGGAAAAAAAATTTCTTTTTTTTAAAACAATAAAATATTCCTGAAAATTGAATGTATTTATAAAATTGGATGAAAATTTTCAACAATTTGAAATTATAAAATTTTTGCCAATCAATAGGAAATTATTTCCCAGCAAAAATTATAAATTAATTCATATGCTAATTTATGATCCTCATCTGTCCAACTACTACTACTACTACTTCTCCTATAACAATTCAATTCAGTTCAATCCTGGAATTTATTACAGTCAACAAAATATGAAAATATTACATATATTTGGGAGATTTCCGGTTTAAAAATTCCTCATTTGCATATCAAAATTAGGCAACCATATATTTTCAAACACCCTTCACCTCACAATTTATTCAACAACAATTTCCGCATGCGGCGGTGAAATGATGATGTCTGATGTCAAATATTTTATTCACCATATATTTTTAATCACTGATTTCCCTAATAACAATCATACTGTAATGATAAAGTTTACCCCTCAAATAACTATTAACAATTTTCTTTTTATTTTTATTTGTATTTTTTCTTTTCAGCTTATTAATTTTAATTTATTTGCTTAATTTTTATCATACACAAAATTATTCTTAATCTATTTCCATATATTTTACATAACCTAATTATGGTCATATTTGCAATCGTTGTATAACTAATTTAAAGCAAACAAATTAATTACAAAAGTATAAATTAAAACAAAAAAAAAATTTTTTTTCTCCTCTCCTCCAACCTGGAACAATTTATGAAGTTAGCCATAAGCCCGTAAATGCACTATGTTGCTAATTATGTGCATTTGGAAATTAGCAGCACAGCGCATTTGCGCGCAATTTGGCCAAGCCCATAAAAATATACTATTTATTTGACCCTTATATATTTAACTATACTACATCATACTATTATTTGACCCTTATATATTTAACTATACTACATCATACTATTATTTGACCCTCATATATTTAACTATACTACATCATACTATTATTTGACCCTTATATATTTAACTATACTACATCATACTATTATTTGACCCTTATATTT